TCTTTCCTGAATGTGACTAACACTATCTGTCAGGCCTCAATGACCGGTCACATGTCTGAAAACAAAACAAACCCATTTACTACATTTCCTGTTGTTCTCTAGACCTCCCAGCCCACTGCTGTCTCCCACATCTGATAATATCACAGTAAAATTGCCAATGTATTTCCTTACTTTGGTACTTTTTGATTACATGTCCCTGACTACAGGAAGGATGGTCCTGTAGTTAAGGCTGGGCTATTCTCAGTTCTTCCAGACACTTCCTTTGCGATCTTGGGCAAGTCACTTCAACCTCTCTTGGTCTCAGTTTCATCATCTGTAAAATGGGCAAATCTTTGCCTGCTTCCTGGAACAGTTGTAAGGAATTAGTGCTGGGGATTCTTGTCTGGCAATCAATACGGCAGGGTAAAATATCATTATTTAAATGGGTTCTGATGTCCAGAAGTTTGGAGACAATATATCTGACCAAGCAGGAAGTCATGCACAGAGCTACATACATGTTTGGGAACCTCCTAGTTACCCCATTGTTCTGAAAACTCTCACTCCCCTTTCTCTGAAATAATATTTCTCTTAGCTGGAGAAGGAGAAAACCAAGTGAAGATCCCAATGGGACAGGTAACACCTCTGTAGACTATGAAATGTAGGGAATGACTTTCATTCCAATTCATTTTTCCATTAATTACATTTTTGTCCATTATATAGATTTGGCCCAAATGTTCATAAGGGGTCACTGATTACAGCTGCTTCATTCTGGTGTATCCAAACGTCATGCCTTGCAGGAGGCTGGATGCTCAGAGAGCACTGAGTGCCTGTAGCTCCCATAAGCTTACATGCCTGCTTGAAACGAATCTGAGCCAGGAGCTGTAAGGCCAGTGTGCATGGTTCATGTGATGCAAGTCCTTAAGGGGAGTGGGTTACATGTCCCCTTTTCTTGTGTTGCCCTATTAGAGTCAACCCCAACACAGCTGGGGAGCTGCATACCCTGCATGGCTAGCAGCGCCACCCAAAAAGGGGCAAAGAAAAGGATCCAGCATAATGCCAGCACCCTTCCTTTGGACACACAGGACGGCCTGTGGCTGGATTGGGCATGTCCCAAGCCCCCCATGGGTGCCAGGGTTAGCACGTCAGTAGACACCCATTCAGAGCCCCAGTAAGAATTCTGGATGAGTCAGCCGAAATTCCTCCTGAGGACTCTGCTGCAATGCAGTCCCCTCGGTGCACCCTGTGGTTCTGAGCAAGGATCCAGCCTGCTCACTTGGCAATAGCCAGCAACTGGAACCTAAAAGCTGCTGCGGTGTCCCTTGCTCCTCCACACTGATCCTGATGATTCCTGAGCTATTGGAGTGCTGGTTTGTATCTGCAGTGTGTGTCAGCACTGAGCTGCGCACATCGCGTTTCACAGTGTGCTGCATGCAGAACGCATTCACTCCCTGAAGGGATCGGCTGGGGTTTCATATTTCATCTCCCTTGTATGCTACACCCGGATTCCAGTCGCTTTCTGGCTTCATTGCTGGATGTACCCGGAGCACAGGTCCTTCCTCATATCTAGCAGTGAGAGACAATTCAAGGGAGGAGACCATGAAGACATCAATTTTATTTTTGCTTTGTCTCTTGGCTTTCCCAGGCTTTTCCCAGGGCAGGGTTGTCAGAGTGGATGAACCTGGCTTTGCTGAATGCAATGGATTCTTTTACGGAGAAACCCCCCCAGAAGGATTTACCGAGCCTTTCCACGTGAAAATCTGTCAGCGGTACAATAAAGAGCCTCGCTTTGCAACGCTCTACAGCACGGAAGACAAAACCCCTCTCTATTCTGCTTTTAAATACACAAAACCAGCCCAAAGTAGAGAAGAGAGCTGGTTGGTGGAGCCACAGGTAAGTCAGCTTTTCAAATGATGGCAAAGCAAAGATTCTCAGGGGGGCTGAAGGTTAAGGGTTAAGTTACTCTGTGCTGTGACGGTTGGGATTTTGTGGGGGCAACAAAGCTGAAAAATCCTTCTGGATATTCATTTATTAAAAATAGTTCTTATTCATGTGCTGGGTGGTGGACAGACACATGACTCCTTGCCCTTTCCTGTCTGTCCTTCTGTCTAACTAGTACTCTGCACAGAGTCATTTGTGAAATCAAGCCATGACAAGGGATAATAGGGTTAAAATTTCAGTCACAGGTTTAAGTTTGTTTTGTCCCCAATGTGACTCTGCAGCTGATAAGAGAGGGCTTTAGCTCCACTACACTGGAATAAAACAGGCATCTGCGGTTTACACAGTTGAGGCTGTGGGTATGTCTGTTGTAGATACGGTGTGGCTGGAGAGAGGGGTGGCTTATCCAATCCAGGAATATGAAGGTTTTCAGGCAAGTCAGGAATTTAGTCTAAAAAACTGTTCCTGAATTGTCAGTCGCTCTTGTCTATACTGATGTTTGCCTTGAAGTTAAGCTGATTTCCTGATGTTGTTATAGCACAGGGGTCATCCTTAACTGCCTCATTGCCTCAGAGAGCTAAAGACCTTCACTTTAATATTTGCAGTAGTCAGGGTTATGTAAGGAGTAAGTATAGGGAAGACTTGGTGACGCATGTATGTAGCCAACACTGGCATGGTTTACCCTCAATAATGATGTATATTATTTGTATGACAGTAAGACCTAGAGGCTTCTGAGACCAGGGCCCTATTGTACAAGGTGCTGTACATGCATATAGGAAAAGAGTTATACTCTAAAGAGACAAAGACATTTGCTATTATTCTCAGTGCATGGGTGGCGTGTTGAGACAGGGAGGGAATGACATGGCTGAGCCAAGGGTCACACAGGGAGAGCTGGAAGTGACTGCAGATATCCTGAAGCCCAGGCTTAGCCATGAACCCATCCTTCCTCACTGCCACTGCTGGGGTTTTAATTTCTGGCTCTACCAGAAGCCCATTTATCTGTCATTTCTTTAATTTACACAGATGCCTATTGAAGGTGGTTGTTTGCTATTTAGAACAGAGCGAGGGCTTTTTAAAGGCTTTACAATTACTCAGCTGAAGAACCGTTATGAATTTTTAATAGATCCTTTTTAATCAAGGATTTCAGCAAAGGAACATCTGCCACTTGCATCACCTAGGTAGCTCTACACAATGCCAAGGGAGGGGGCCCTTGCCAGTGGCTGAGCCCCTCTGTCACACAGTGCCTAGTGTTCCCATTGTCACTTCTCCCTGTGACAAACCCTCCTACAGCTCCCATCAGAGCCAAAGGCCCATCTTTCAGGTGCCAGAGCCGCCCACATGTCCCATTGAAAAGCCCTTCCTATCTGATACTCCACCCAACTGCCAAGCCCTCTTACACCTCCACCCAGTAGCAAGGGCTCTCTCAATCCAGTTTATTCACTGCCCAACCTCTTCCTTATAAGACGCCCCAGTGGCCTAGCTTCCTGAGCACCCACTGCTCTCTCTCCCTCTCAGCTGCTAAAATTTCCTTGTCACAGTCTTTAGATTTCCTGCTTCAAAAATCAGGTCACTTTCTCTAGTGCTTCCCCCTTGGCCCCTCTTATTTTACCAGCCATGACTGCAGATTTCTGAGAAAGTGCTGCAGTGAAGAAAGCACTGCATCCCTCAGCACTGTGCACTGAACTGTTTGAGACTGATTCACTGCACTCCACTCGTAGTTGCTGTGACTTTGTGCCAGTGTTGTGTCATTAGCTGCCATGGAATTGTTCAGGATTTACATCAAGTGTCTGGGAGATCAGAATCCAGCCCCACTGAGCCCTGGCTCACATTGATGAGTGATGAACTGAGAGCCTTGGATTCCCCTTCCCTGGGCCAATCTCCTGGGAAATGTCCTAGATAAAAACCCACTTTGCAATTGCTCTAACAAGATTGCTTTGCCTGCATTTAAACGATACTCTTCTTGCTTGTGCTTCTTTGTTCTGAGTTTTCAGCCTCAACACATTCCTTAAAAGAATTTAATGTCCTGATTGAAATGACTGTCCCCTTTAAACACGAATATTAGCCCTTGATATAGAAAAGGCCACCAACATCCTGCAACCAGCATGCAGCCTAATAAAAGAACAGGGATTTCCAGGCAAAAAAAGCCTTATCTACAGAAAATATTTTTTTTAATGCAGACCACATTGATCATTGACATTAGTCAGAGCTGTGTCTGAGTAGGGATCACCATACTGTGCCCTAAAGGCCAGAAGCAATTCTCATGGTACTATTTATTTAAGCACTTACCTGTTAGTCATGGGATGAATTGTGCTTGCAGCTACTCTATACTAAAGCATCTGGATATTTTAGAGATCCTGTGCTCTGCCTGTCTGTTTCATGACCACTATATATTTTGTGTTTCTGATTGCAGGATCTTTGGGATAGACCCTGTCATTTACTATGTGTCATGTCCATTTCCCACAAGTACAATACCTAACACAAGAGGCCACCAAAATATGCTGACTTACCCACAGAAGGACAGAGTTGCAAGAATGTTAAGTTGCAAAGTCCAATGCACAACAGAGAGAAAATGCAAGAATTTAAGTTACCCACTCAACCTTGTTTCATCCCATGCCCATTTATGCATGTGCATTACAGTATGGGCTTTAAGTACAAGATCACAGGCTGTTTTCCACTTTACAACTACCATACCAAAGGAATCCCCTTCAACAACCACTGAGATACAGCAGCTTTGTGGTGGAAGATACAACTGTTTAATATCTGTATAGAAATCATATAACAGGGGGTGGAGAAAAATGCCTGTGACATTCAATTGCATAAACCTGTGAGAAATCAGTTTTTAGAATCACAATACAGGAGACTCCATTTTCCTCAATCCCACCTCTCTTACCAGCAATAAACAAGCATGAGCAAAGCAATCAGCTGCATGAGGTCTGCAAGGGAGGAAGCCAAGATGAATAATGATGAGATATTGCATCTGTTATAAGTTGTTCATATCAAAGTCAAGTCAAATCATTTGCTTTAAGTGAATCTTTGCACTGTGTACTGCCATGCAGCACATCCAAGAAAATAATGCCATCAGTTTTCCTCTGAATAACATTGTGACTGAGATCTGCGAAGTCAGATACGCTGAGAATGACAGTTAGGCATACATGCATGCTGTCAGGTGTGCTTTGTGCAGACATGCATACTCATGTACACATGAGTTGACACACACACAAACATACTGGCATAGTGAAAAATTGCACAACTTCATTATGCTCTGTGGAGTGACTAAGGGCTAGCGAATGTTATTTCACAATAGAGCATGCTGTAACTTGAAAGCGCACTTGTCTCACCTTATATAATGTCTACTTCTTCTGGAATGTATACATAAGAAATATTTGCCAAAAGCTGCAGAGAGGTTCTAACACGATGCAAAATAAAAGGCATACCAGTATTGTCCATGACTGGCTGGCTGGGTGAGGTGTAACTATGCAGCATTTTTAACAAGGTTTAACAGGAAAGGTGGTCTAATGGTCAGGGCCTCATCCTGGGAGGAGAGAGGCAGGGCATGCTTGTTCTCTGGAGCAGAGAGCCCAGCCCAGGGCTGCAAAGCATGCTGGGATGCTGGGGGACTCTGGTTTAACTTAAACCAGGAAGGGGTCCAGGACAGACATTGCATAAACCATTTTGACCCAAATCAGTTAAGTCTGATACTACATTCAACCAGGTTTATCTTAAACCAGTTTCAGCCATTTTGAAACTGGTTTATGTGCACTGAACTTATGTTCTGTTACAGGTTTAAACCAGTTTCTGATCACTTAAATCGATTTATGTGTAATGTCTGTCCCTAGCCTTGAAGGCAGAACCAGAACTAGTTTGACTCCAACTCACTTGCATAACTGTGCAGTGCACATGCAGAGCAGCATAGGTTTTTCCCTGGTTGGTGGAAGGCTGCCCTGGACTCTGGCCCTTTCCTGAGCAGCACTGCCTGCCCTAAAGCCAATGCACTGTTCCCTGCCTTCTTTTGCTTGCCTCTCCGGGTAACAATACACCCACAGGGTTGTTGTAAAGATAAAGACTAATGACTGAGAAGCACTCCAACACTATGGGATGTGAGGCCAGGCACATAACATAGGTATGGGCAGAGCTGTCCCTTGTGGGGGGTGCGAATCAGGGCAACAGTCCTAGGCCCTGCACTTTGGGGAGCCCCGCGGACAGTGCTGTACAGGCCCCACAGACAGAGCCATTGGCACGTGCCGAGGGTGCCACCACGCCGCATGACCACTGCGTGCCACTGGCTTTGCACTCTGGTCACTTGCCACGCCCCCTGCACAGGCCCCACACAGGCTGATATGCCCTGGGCCCCCCATGCCCCTGGGGTCAGCTCTGAGTATGGGTGTCAGCACTCAACAAGTGCAGCTTTATATTGACTGCAGAGGGTTCTGCAGCAGTGTAGAGTTAAAGATAGCTTCTACCTAAGCTTGAAATGATACTGGAATCAGTCTATGGGGGTTCCGTTAAGGAGGGCTGGGAAGGTGGAGATGAAGAGCACTTACAGGACAAGAACTTGTTGCAGTGCAAAGTAGAGAGGTAGGATACCAAACTTACAATGGTGGGAGATGGTGAGAAAAGAGTCCTTCGTGTTGCCACCTGTTCCACACATTACCTGCTTCTGTTAGATGAACATATGGACAACTTTTCATAAGGCCTCCTTACCTGGAGCCTGCATTGTTTGAAAATTACCCTGTTTCCACATGCAAAATCCTGAAGTTGCAATTACACAATAGATAGCTTATGGGAAGATGGGAATATAGATGCCCAGTTATTTGATATGTTGTTGTGGGGTTTTGCTTGCTTAAAATCCACATGCTCTATATAAGATGCAGTTACTGTTAGGTTATCAAATGTGGTGAACTTAGTGTTGTATCTTTATCTTTCACACACATATAAAATTTGACCCAGGCAGATATCACTCTACACAAGTCAGTGAAGATGCCTGTCCAAGACCATAGCTACAGTCAAAGCAAGCAGGTTGTTAGGATGCACAAAGTATGGGATGAAGAAAAATACAGAAAATATTAAACTGTCATGATGTGGTATGGCTTCATCTGGAACAGTGTGTGCAGTACTGGGTTCAACCCGTCTCCAGAAGGGCATTATAAAATTAGCAGAGGCTTTGAAAATGGCAAAGAAATGATTGAGAGCATGGAAAATGTACATAAAGAGAGATGGAAGAGATAGGTGTTGTTTACCTTACTGACATTGAGTAAGCAGGAACGTAATAAAAATATGTAAAATATGAATGGTGTGGAGAAGGCAGGCTAAGGACTGCAGGGGCATGTTATCAGAGTGAAAGGTAGAAAATTCAAAACTGAGAAAAGGAAATACTTTTTGCACCCAGCTTGCAGTTAGATTGTGGCACTTACTGCCACAGGAAGTCACAGAGCTAAAGAATTTAGCCAAGAATCAAGGAAGAAATATGTGGCTATCTGTTAACAAGTGTAACCCCTCTCAGGAAGGGATGCAGGTATGTAGCAGTGGTGACTTTGTTTCCACAACAGTACCTCACTTTAACAGGAGGATTCAAACAAGTATGATTTATTTACACCCATAGGCAGCAGAACAGTAAACTGTAACCCATAATGGAAACCAAATACAAAATCACCCCTTTTAACAGTGCAACTTTTCAATCCCAACTCCAAACAGCTCCACAAGGACCCTTGGGGCAAGAATCTTCACTTTGTGCACAGCCCAAGCTGTCCCAGCTCTTTCACCGCTCTGCAGGCACGCTAACCACACTAACCTCCACAGCTTTTTAAGAACAACTCAGGTCAAGTTCAGTAGCGGCTGCCAATTTCTCTCTCCATTTTGGGTCTTCTCAGTGGAGAAGTCAATCTTCTCCTGGCTGTACTCAGACCAGGCTACTCCATAATCTCCCTAGGGATCTCTCTCTTTCAGTGGTTCTTGGAGCATATCAGGGAGCAAGGTCTATCCTTTACTCAATGCACACTAGCTCCAGGCCAGCGTATCTATGCTCTGGGGTGACCTTTTCCCATGCTGTGGGAACTCTATGGTCACATCTATATACCCTCTACCTGGATGAGTGACTTCCTATCCCCCGCAACGTTAGTTTCCCCAGTGGGGGTAGCTTCTGTTGCTGTAAATGCTTCTTACAGAAGGAGGAATAAATCAAGGTTATCTGTGAGCCATTATGCAGCAAGGCTTTGCCTGATACCCCATTGATCACCATTGGCACTAGGGTGGTGGGTCCTGGTAAACCAAGTGGGCAGCTAGTTTGAGGCAAGGCTTCCAGTATGGTGCTAGCGGAGCAGTTTATAATGTGGGTCTCAGTTGGCTCCATTACTGCAGCCCATTTTCATTTCCTAGCCTTGACTTCCCAGTAGCAGTGAGTTGCTGATGTACCAGATGTGCATTTGGGATACTTCTACAGACTCAAGAGTTGGCCATCCTTCCTCCAGTTGTCATAAATTATCAGTCTATTGCACCCCAGCCTGGATGATTTCCACTTGGCGTCCAAGGTGGTGCAGCTCTTTCTTCCCTTTGTAGTGGATGGGGTGGACCCAATTTCAGCAACAGAGCTGCTACTTCCTCTTGCAAGTGCCGGATAGTGTCTTGAGTGGGGTCAAGTGGTGGGCTCTCTGTCTTTATTACGGTAGCCTGACTAGTCTCTCTGTGTCCCCTCAGCCCAAGTTCATCCTGGCATGTATGATCATGCATGCCTGGCATGTTCCTTTTCATAGACCTAGGAGCAACTGAGGGTACAATGGAGGAGCTTTCAATCTTTCCCTCAACCACAAGTGCAGAGGGACCAAATTACTTGGGTGTTTTGCCTTGGTCACTTGTTGGAGACATGCCAGTTCCACCCCCTCAGGTGACACCAGAATAGTCAGTTGAAGTAGTCAAAGATAACCTCCAGCTGGGAAGGGATATAATACTTCACACTTCTAAATTCAAAGTTTAGGAATAAGCCTGAGACCTTCCCTGGGTTCAGAGTACCTCATACCTCCTTCCACAGGGTTTCTTGCATTCTGCACTGAAGGACTTGGTGTTAGTCACTTCTGGATCCTAGGCTAGACAGACCATGGGTCTGCTCCAGCCTGGCAATGTTGATACTCTCATATGAAATTCTTAGAGCTTAACTAAATTAAACATTTAAGCAGTGATAGACACCCAAATGAAACGTGTATGAGGCGCTAACAACACCACAAACTGACATAAACATCATGCCCAAATACATCCATCTCAGTACGAAAAACATAGGATCAAGAAGGCTGTTTGATTGTGATTCAGTCCAAAATTTAGCCTCTGCTCTTTGTATTTCTGAAGGAAAGACATACAAAGTATCAAGAAGGCATGACTGATGAGCAGATAGAGATGCAGGATCCTAAGACAGACCACATCTTCCACCCTTCTCCATCCTGTGAGTTGATCCTCACATTGCTTATTAACCCCCTGCTCTCTGCCCTACCTTATGCTTACCCCTGTGCAGATCTGTTCTCAGCTACATGTAAGGCTCCAGGCAGGAACATCTCAACTCAGCTTTCCTAATGCTGGAATTATTATGGTAGGAATTAAGATGGTAGCAATTATTATGCCTGTGTTGTGCAGAAGGTTGGACCATGGTAATGGTTTCTTCAGGCCCTAAATTGGTTAATCTAACAGGTCTAACCACTCTTATTCTGAAATGCCACAGGGAAAATGGAAAAGAAAAACTGCATTAAGCTTATCCATGGAGCTGTGATTAGCTGTGACTCCACTTCCACAACTATTCTGAATATAACATGAGACAGTGCAGCAAGACAAGTTGTATCTAGTAACTTCTCTCCCTTGTATTTCAGATAGATGATGCTGAAAGTGACTTGGATGAAATGAAGCATGAAGGTGATATTGGTGGCTCAGTGAACAACCTTGGAGCAAACCAAGCCCTGGCCTCAGACTATGCAGACTCTGGTTATGAGAGAGGGCAGCTAAACCCCAGTTCCCTCAATGAAGATGATTTCCAGATAGCTACCTACACACTAACGAATGCTGTCCCCATGACCCCATCTGCGAGCAAAAACTGGCATAGGGATGTCAAGAATATAATAGAGCAAGCTTTGGCCCCACACTGTGAAAATAAAGATAGCCTGTATCTTATTGCAGGCTCTGTTCCTTCCAAAGTCAGAGTTAAAGACAAGATTTCGGTCCCACAACTTCTCTGGCTGGCAGCATGCTGCAGTGCTTCAGAGACGTGGTCGGTGGGGTTAGTGAAACAAATGAATGATGAAAGTCACATGGAAGAGCTAGCCATAGGAGAACTGGAGAAGCAGTTTCCAACAGAAGTTAATTTGTTTAAGAGCAACTGTGGGGAAGGAAAGCAAAGCCAGGGGAAAATGGAGGCCATATTGCAAACCATAAACCAGCTCCAGTCCACAGAGCCAATATTGCCAGCTGTGACCACTTTTGGCTACTCAGCCAGCACACCTGGTCCAGACCAGACAGCTGAAGAGGAGCAGGGAGAAGGAAGCCTGCTAAAAAGAGTTGCTGGACTCATTGCTCTCCCTTTCACCAAGCTTTTGCGAATTGTTTTCTCCATTGTTAGGGAGGTGGTGAGATACACTTTTTATTTTCTGTGGTATGTTGTCAAGCAGTTCAGCAACATCATAGTGGGAGGATTCTCCAGCCTATGGAACGGAGCGATGGCCTACATCAAAGAAATCAGTCTGGTGCTGCTGAATATTCCCAGAGATATGGGTCAGGTTGCAGCCAATATCATCAAGGGCTTTGCTCGGATAGTCTATCACGTAGTGAGCCTCACCTGCAGAATTCTGAGCATCCCTGTTAGGCTTTTCCTCCATATTGCTTCTTTTCCCTATTATACGCTTGGTGCCATTCCTGTTGTCATCAAAGACATCACTGTTGGAATTGGCAGCACTTTCTCGTTGATCATCGATGCCACAGCTGCCCTCTTGAGTGGTTCTACTTCTCTGGCTACTCACATAGTCAAAAGGATTATCCCTAAAGTCTCTTCTGATGACTGATAGGGAGAGAAACCAGAACTGTGAAGATGCACGATGAAAGAAGAGTTGGGCAATGCTTTACCATATGTGGCCAAACGCTGTCAATTCTTTTTGGGTATTTATTGTAGTGACATTAATAATAAGGAACCAAATGGGTGTAATGGGGGTGGGGCTGGCCATGTAACTCCAAAAGGGGATGCCATGGCACATTAAGTACCGCTTATTGTAAAGTGTTCAGGTTTTTGACTGGGGTGACAAATCCAGTGACTGCCATGAGACACACTCTGAATGTGGTACCAAGATATTTCATCACTACTAAGATAAGAAAATGCTGATGGCTGTTTACTGGCAGTGATGCCAGGACTCAGCAGAACCATGTGCCTGGTGGTGAGGGGAGATAAGGGAAACGTTACATTTGCAAAGGCCTTTCTAAAACCAGGAGGAGGGAAGGAGGCTATGTTGTTAATAACCTTACATGTAGGTTATTGACTCAGGAAGAAAAACCATGGGACTGAATTCTGCCTTAGTTGCATCATTGGTTTCATTGGGGTAATAAGGCAGAATTTGCTCCAGCAAGTTTAGCTTGTTGCTCTCAATCTGTACCTTTTTATGAACACTGAGATGGTATGTATCTTCAAGTATGCCTATACAGAGCAATGCCATGCCTGCAGAGATACCCCAGCTAGCTCAGCATGAGCTTACTCAGGTACTGGCAGCAGTTATGGCCATGTTAGCATGGCTCTCTGCCTAGGTTAATAGAATTTACATCTTGGCTGGGCTAAATAGTCTAAGCAGAGCTCTGCACTAATGTCACTATACTGCTTCTAGTACCCCAGGTAGCATGTTCTGCGTCAGCTCAGGTATCTCTACACAACACTGTAATGCTGTGTAGACAAACCCTCAATGAAAGAAAATCAGAGTTGCCAGTTCCTCTGCTTGGTGAAAGCATAATTACCACTCCCTCCTAACTGCACTTTTTGCTCACCACTGCAACCAAACAAGACTTTATTTAGTAGAGGCATGATCCAAAGCCTAGTGAAGTGAATCAGAGTCTTTGGATCACACCCTCTAGCACAGTCAAAGCCTGTAATTGCCTCTAATTAGAGTTGAAAGTCTTCAAAATACATACCACAGTGCTGGCTCCTCTGAAAATTTCTGGAAGATGGGATAGATTTTGGAGATAGGAAAGATTTTGCTACCCTAATTAATACTGAGCCATACCTCACTTTGCTGGGATCCCCATTGTTGACAGTGAGGCTACCTGCAGAATAAGGTATGAACAGCCTGAGCAAGGGTGGGAGAATCTGGCTCTAAGAAAGTTGGATGCCACCTACCAAGACTGTCTCTCTCTCTTGTGTTACATCCATATGGAAGCACCCCTTATCTGAGGAGCCCAGCCCACATGTGGGCTCTTGAGGTTGGTGGGGAAAGTTACTTCAGTCAAGCTGGAAATGCTGTACAACATTGCTCCAGCAGATTTTGGGAATTGGCAGCTTACACCAAGTTAGCAAGGCTGATGCAGACAGTGCTGCCAAACCCACAGGTACAAAAGGCCCAGGGCTGAGGAGGCCCCTGCAGGGACAGGAGCTGCAAGGCAGTCCACCTGATACAATCATGCTTGTATGATTGTAATTGCCACAACAGTACATGATGTGGTGCATTAGTTGTTTGATGCCAAGAGAACTCTGCGGTCAAGCCCCTGGGGATCTGGATGTCTCATTATCACGGCTCTGGCCTTCCCTCCTGTCTACAGGAAATAGCTATTTGCTTTGTTTTTATCCTACTCCCCCATGTTTAGCCATTTGCTTTGCTTCTATCCTACTCCTCCCAGAGACACAGTCCCTGATCTCCCTGGCCTCACTAGAAATGCCCTGGCATGGCACAGAAGTTCATCATAGGAAGGTCACTTACTGAATCAGGGAAATGACAAAGTCTTTAAGGGGGTGTCACAGATTAGTTCAACCCAGACCTCTGCTGAAGGCTGCCAGGCTCTAAAATACACAGGGAAAATAAAAGAAAGACAAACAAAAATACGGAGATGGGGCACTGCCTGCCCACTAAACTGGAGGTCCTTTCAGCTCAGACTTCCCCTCCCCTTGGCCAGGTGCTGGGGGAAAGAACTCTGATTTCCCTTGTGAGGCACCTGTGGTGCCTGCATCGGCCTTTTCTTCTGCTGATTCTTTCTCCAAGCTTACCGATGCCTTGGGCAGTTGCATGAGAGCCTGGCACTGACCCAGGCCTCAGGTTCTAGCAATGGGATAAAGAAACTGACTGGTTCAAATCCAGCCCAGCTTACTAGGGACTGAAAGTTGTCAGCCGTGTTTGGTCTCTGTGGAATGTATCACAATCTCTCAGGCCGGCTCTCAGGGAACACGTGTTCTCATCAGATAACTCTGTAGACAAGCTCAGCAGCAGAGAGGCCATGGGATGAACTGGGCTTGGAGAACAATGCATCCTCATTCCTCTAGAGGCGGTCTGTCCCAGACAGAGTACTACCAGCTTGGTGGAGCAATAAGGCAGTTCACCTGATTCAGTGGTGACCAACCTTTTTGGTAAGCATGCCACAAGTTAAGTCCAAAGCATGAGACAGTGTCACTCTAATAATAAACCAAATGGAATTAATTGATTAAAATGAAACACCACCATATATACACACACACACACACACACACACACACACATATATATATATAACAGTGTTTCACTTTAATTATGGAAAAATGTGGATTTGGGGTGTGGTTTTTTTTTTAACTGAAAATTGGGGATTTTTTTAAATCAGAGAAAACCAGGATCCCTGATAATCAGCCACCACCATTGCCCAGGGCTGCTGAATCTTGTTGCCACCAGGATGTGACACAGCTAAATTCAGCCACGCCTGCCACTGCAGCTCTCATGGGGCCAAAGCCTCAAGCCAGCACTGATCCACCTCCCATGTTAATCCCTACCCCTGTCTGAGTGCTGCCCTGGTTCCCAATGCTAGCTTCCTCTTTAACTTGGCACCCAGGGCTTGCCTGCCAAACATACCAGCATGCTGCAGGCTGACCACCATTGACATGGTTGATGGAGAAATAGAGGACTCCTCATTTCTGTCTAGCGAGCAGCACTGAATACAATGCTCTCTTTAAAGACATAGAAGGTCAAGACTTTAGTTTATACATTAATCAAAAGAATATGGTTCTTATCAAATTATTTCAATGATCCTTTTAATATTATTATTCTACATGGAAACTCAGTTTATATGGATGAAATGTGGCAAGTGTTAAGGACATTAGTCTCAACAGATGTACATCTCCCCATCTCCCATTACTGATTCTGCAAGCATAACGCTCACTAGAAGTTCTTTCAAACAAAAAGTTGAGCCCTTGTTTGGCTGTAATGTATTTTCCCCCTTTGTGTTTCCTCCTTCAAGGTACTTCTACAGTGTAGTCAGATTGAACCACATATATGTCTATCCAAAATAGATGTAATCCAGGTGGCTCAGGTAATGAAAGCAGTGAAGACATGATGATACGGGGGCTTCAGCTTGGGTAAACTCCCAGTATAGCCATGTACATTCTGTGTGGAAGTCTATGCTGCCATGTCTTCCCGGTGATTGTTACTCGAGCTTACTAGATTAGGATAGCAGGCTAGCTGCCTACCTGTGCTGTACTCACGACTCCTGATGGCAGCACAGACCTACCCTTACATTAAATGGGGTTGCCTCCCCAGTGGATATGGCCTGGTACACAGCAATATTATTAAAATTAGTTTAACACCGCTAAACCCAGCCCCTAGTCCTACTGGCCATCTTATTATTCTGCATGTCCAAGCTGGCTATAATGGATTTACCAAAAGCACTGAGCAATTTTTGCAGATTAGCAACATTCCCCTGTAAACTAACTGTTGTTTAATATTATCCTTGTCTGGGCATGACTTATGGAGCGTGACTTTACTTTATTCCTAGAACTGTATGGTTTTAACAAAATAAAAGTGACTTTTTTCAGAAGAAATCCTTGTGTTATACTGCTGTGAATCATTATGAATGAGATTACTAACACAATTCTTAATGCCCTGACAAATTAAGAAAAATGACACTGGTATAGCAATAATTTAGTACTATCCAGGATCTGGTGTTCTTTATGTTTTGTAATTTTGCAGCACTTTTCAGTTGAAGAGCTCAGAATGTTTTATAGAAATTAGTTTGCTAAATCTCACAATGTACTTGTGAAATAGATAATGAATTATCAGAAAGGATGGAACTCATATTAGTATACATAGAGAGAACATTTTACCTATTAGAAATGCAGATAATACCTCTGGGATGAAACATGGCAACTATTTCTGGCAAAGCAACTTTATATTAGGACAGGGTTTTTTTTAATCAAATGCAAAGTGGGATAGAAAAGTGTGCCAGGTTATGTCAACTCATATGTTATAAAAGTCCACAAGATAAAGAGAAGATAAGACAAAGAAAAAGTTCTGGCTACATAAAAATATCACAACACTGAAAATAAAATTGAGATATTCATAATTGTTTCTTTAGCCACTCAGCTGTATCCAGGTCACCAGCATGTAAGTCTGGTAAGTCCTTGGATACCCTCACGGCAGAAATGACCTTCTCCTGTATATCTTTCATTTTCAATTAAGACAGGTTGAAAAAACTAAAGGAAACAACTGAAATTACACAGGAAATATAGGAAAGCAGGAGTCAATTACCCAAGTAACTGATTAGAATGCTATAGTTAGCAGCTCAAGTCTTGCCCAGAAATACAATGCTCTCTTTAAAGACATAGAAGGTCAAGACTTTAGCTTTGTCTCGCAGCTGAAAGACAGCAAAATGCCACGTAAAACCATTTTGGGGCCTTGACTCTAGTTCTGATACAAAAGAAATAATGCACTACATCAGTACTCTTCCCTATAGCATCAGAGTTTTCTTGGAAAGTCTCCTATACAAATACTGACCCAACCCTTGCTTGCTTAACTTTAGAGCTTCTAGCAGATAACAAAGTGAAGTGCTATGGGAGATATTTAAACACTCACCAACCTTCCTTGAGAGTCAGCATCTGTGCCTTTGAAAACCTCCGCTGGGGTGGCTGGGCTTAGTTATGGGTTCTTTAAAGCACATAGCAGTCTAAGTTCCTTCTCTATTTGAGTAAATTTAGCATCTGTGAAAGGTGCTTGTTGGACAAGAGTGAACAACACAGTAGAGCAGTGGGGCCAGCCTTTTTTGTAGGTAGGCCACAAATTAAGTACCACACATGCCTTGAGTGCTACTCCAATCTCCTTCCCCTGCCCGATCTGCTTCTCTGCTTTCTGCTCTCTGCCCCTGCATGATCTGCTGTTTTGATTTCTGCTGTCTGCACTATCTGCCACTGTGCTGCCTGGCCCCACCCTGATCTGCCATGTACCCCGCACAGAGGCTGCTTGTGCCGCACATGCCACAGGTTGTTGGGCAACCCTGTACTAGGGCATGCTCCATCTTTAGTACTACATATGTGCTAGTTTATGTCTTTGGAAGATTTATAAATGTTGCTCAAAGTCATTCCTGCTGTGGCAAGGTTAAACAAATTGGAGCTTCCTCTGCCATTGTGGGCACTACTGCCACCTCCACTCTTCTCCCCAGGAGTTTATGTTATGGTGGAAATCCATGACTGAATCATTATTGGATCCCAAGGACTCCAAGTACTGTGCTCAGTCCAGTGTTGTCCACTGGGCAGGGTGGAAGAAACTAGGTATTTTATCCTGGCCTGGCTGACCAATGGGGTTTTTTAATGGGTTGTGAATGGCTCTCTCATGAAACTGACCAATATTCCTTTTGATGTTAAAAGAAGCCTATATATATGACTTACTTAAAATGCAGAAACATAACTAAACCCAGCCCCGATTCTAAATCCAGCAGTCACAAAGAGGTATGTGGGCATCCAGTCAAAAGAGAAGCCCAACTTAAGAATTAGTCCAGAGGCCAAAAATGTCTGTGGGTAGCACTGTTCAACCCATGAATCCACACCTCACTTGCAGCTGCCCCGTCTAAAGATAAGCATCTCTCCACCGGGCTACAACTATTTCCTTAGCATTCCTCCACAGGGACAACTGGCTGCTCAAATTCAGAATAGTTTCAGTCACAAGTTCTCAGCCTGGCTGAGTCTGTGAAAAAAAATAAAAATAAAAAAGGATAGAAAAAGAAATACAAGTGTAACTAGTTTGACCAGAAAGGATTGCCTGAGAGCATAACGTACAAGGTGTGTCTGCAGTGCACAGGATACACAAGATGCTGATGTTGCATGTTCAACACAGAAGGTTTAGTGGAGCTGTTTGTCCGTTCAAGCAAATTTACTTCTCTGGATTTACAAATGTATCT